GGTCTTGTCACTCCCAGTGTCTGAACGGCATGCAGCAAAGTGGAGGGCTTGTCTCTGCTGAGGAGCAGAATGAGATGGTCATGTTGTGCGTCAGGGCGCCTTGTTTCAGAGAGATTGGAATCTTTATTGAAAGAGCTCCCTTTTTTGATTTCCGGATCAGGCCCTGAGCAGTTGATAAGGGAGAATTACTTGGCCATTATCAGAAGTAGTTGCATGGCCACAAAGAGCTGGGACTAAACAAGAGTTTATCTATGTGACAAGACTGATAGAATTCACACAGATTATAATTCAATCAGACACCTAAAAGAGCACGTATATTGGCTGGTGGCATATGTGCAAACCTCTAGCCTCCAGACACAGCACAGGAAATACCCTGGGGAATAGTTCCTGTGGTCTGAAAACTGGGAATAAATGTTAGAGCGCTACTCTTGGTTGCTACAGGCTCTGTCTCTATTTAATCCATAGTAATATTTTTAAAGAAATGTAATCCTAAAAGAATGCCATCAACCCAAAGAGTCAACTCTCTATGACCTTTGCAATTATTTGCTAAAACACTCTCAAAAGGTTCAAAGTGTATTTCTAAGACTTAAGAAATACCATCTTCGTAGCAGCAGCTAACAGGTCTTGCTATCGTCTCAGAAAGCTGGGGAAACTGAAAATTTTCATGGGGAATTTCATGGGAAATTTTCATGAATGAAAATGAATAGTGAACTCAAAAATAAATTTGTTTAGGGACTTCCCTGGCGGCCCAGTGGTTAAGACTCCATACTCCCACTGCAGGGGGCTAAGATCCTGCATGCTGTGGGGTGCAGGCCCCCGCCAAAATACACGTTTAAACACAAAGCTTCAGTCCTACTTGGAACACCAAACTTTGACCTATTTTTTGCAACTTCTGAAACTATTTTTCACAAATAAAAGGAGAAGAATGTAGGGTTCTGGGGTTTGATTCTAGCATCAGGCAGCTTGAGGTTAGCTAACACACTGGCTTCATCACCCAGTAGCTGTGAATCCTCAAGCAAACTTCTTAAGTTCTCTGAGCCTAATTTCCTCATCTGTAATGAAGTGGGGATAATGAGAATATTTAATTTGTAGAGTAGTTATGAAGATATAGTGAAATAATATGACAATGCAAACAAATACAGTACTCTGCAAAAGTTAAGCAGGTGATAAATATTACTTGCCATTGTTGTTAGCACAGAATGCCTGTGGTTTAATGAGTCAGAGGCCTTGGACCCAGTACACACTATTATATTCTATAACCAATTTTGCATCAATATTGTGATCTGGTACTAATTTCCCAACTATTATGTTTCTGTTCTGCCTTTAATTTTCTAAGTTCCTCCTTAAAATTTCTTATCAAACAGAACAACTAGAAAAAGAAATGATGCTCTTGTATCTATGAGATATTTCATAGCTTTGTATTTTTATCTTCAGTGACACAGAAGCTAATGGACTAGGTAGTGGGGACAGTCAGAACAGTCCTCTACACGGACACAAAAGGACATCTGACAAAAGGGAGGTTCTCTGCTTCCAAGCAGGATGTGGGGCCTGAAACTACTGTGTTTTGCCACCAGCATCTGATTGCAGGTGGGAAAAATGGAATGTGAAGGCAGGGGTCCTCCCCATGTGGCCCGTGATCACTACTTACAAATGCCGTTTTATGGACTTCAGGAAGGGCACTGGCTTGCTCAAACAGTCTCCTCCCTGGTCCTTCCTGTTTCTCCTCTGGCCCCCATCTGGCCTACTCTCAACCCAGCAACCAGAGGGATTCCTTCACTCTGTGAGTCAGATTCTCTCCCCAACCCCCTTCAAAACCCTCGAGTGGCTCCCACCTCACTCAGAAGAAAAGCCGACATCCTGTCAACGCCCTATAAGCCCTTGCCTGATCTGGCCCCATCTTCCACATCTTTTTGTCAATTGGCCTTGTGGATAATCCTGAAAACACCAGGCCTGGAATGCTCAAAGTTATCTACAAGAGGGTTCCTCTGCACTGCAGACCCTACCTGCATCCTCATTAGCCTTTCCTTGCTCTTCTAGCCATATGCACTTGCAGCTTTTTGAATAGTTTTATGACTTAATATGATTGTGGTCTGTAGCAAGAATGTACACTGCATGCAACTAGGGGCTTCCATCAGTTTTGTTCACTGATGTTTCTTATCTTAAGTGTCTAGAAGAGTGCCTCATGCCTAGCAAGTGCTTGATATGTATTTGTTGGATGAATGAATGAGTGAGTAAATAGATGAACACACACACACGCAAGCTCCTGGTTCCCAGCCACCATAGCCATCTCCAAGACAAGAGCAACGGGCCAGGGTGAGAACTGGCGAGCAGTGACTCATTTCTAGAGCATCAAACCTCCTGTTTGTGCTCTGCAGATGCAAACAGGTTTGCTGCTTTCTCCCACTGCCAATCTGAAAACGGACTGCAAATTCTGCTCATTTAAAACAACAACTTGCAATGTCTTTCACAGGCCAAGCTACATTGTCATATTTCGTGATGTCTGCATTCTTATTCTGTGTCCATCCATTAATGAGCTTGGAGGCTCTGAGAAAGAAATAAGCTTCACTGGGATCCAGTAAAATAAATGACAACTAATTTTTTTTCAGCTTAAAAAAATCTCAGTTTTTAAGAAAAAAAGTAAAAAACAAGTCAAGCCCTCTTTGACCACTCCTCTCCTTCCTCAACCCATGATTTATAATATATGCCCAAATTTTAATATTAATAGCTCAGCCTAATAAGAAAACTACCTGGTTTGGCCCATCTCACAAAAGGAATGATGTTAACAGCTAGGTGTGACTCATCTGGAAACAGTGCTACCTCAGGTGCTAAACTGAGGTGATTCCAAAGCTATATTAACACTTTCGTCTAATCTGGAGCCATAGCTCTGACCAAACTAAAAAATGCTTCTGCAGACAGTATCAAAACAGCTATCATTCTCCTCTTGTCCTCTGCTGCAGCTTATGGCACGGTAGGAGTCCTTGCTAAAATGCTAGATTCTTGGCAGTATAGAAGTCCTCTGGGAATACAGAGATATTCACACTCATGCCATCTCATCACATCCTCCTGAACCTACTGGCCACAGGAAAGCTGAACTCTCAAAAGTACCTGTAGCAATGATCAGTTTGAACCAATAAAAATAATAATAGTAGCAACCAAGTGTGTACCAATAATGTTGCTTTCATTCATAAAACAACTATTTTGTCAGCATCACATGCCCAGCCCCTTCCTGGTGTTTAGGACACTGAGATGCAGAAGACACATTCCTTGTCCCCAGAACCTGTCTTTGTAAGGAGCAAAGATAACCCAATGAGAAGCAATTAAAAACGACATGGTGGCTCAGTGGTGGGGAATCCGCCTGACAATGTAGGGAACAAGGGTTCAGTCCCTGACCGAGAAGATCCCACCTGCCTTAGAGTAATTAAGCCCGAGTGCCACAACTATTGAGCCTGTGTTCCAGAGCCTGGGAGCCTCAGCTACCGAGCCCGAGAGCTCTGAAGACTGTGCTCCGCAACAAGAAAAGTCACCGCAACAGGAAGTCCTCACACTCAATGAGGGAGCAGCCCCTGCTCATTGCAACTAGGAAAAAGCCTGCACAGCAATGCAGACCCAGCACAGCCAAAAATAAATAAATATATGTTTTTTTAAAAGACATGAAAAAAGTTTCAGAAATTAAATTACTGAAATTACCACCCAGAAGCAAACATCTTCAATGTTATCGGTGCTCACTATTCTAGACATCCCCATCATGTTACTATATGTGTACATATTGGTCCTTTTTCTTTCTTCTTTTTTTGAAAAAAAGTGAAAACGTGCTATATCTAATCATAGCCTCTAAAAAGGCTCTAAAATATCCTTACTATAATTGTTCATGTTCATCCATTTGTAAACAAAGATCTACATCATTTTAACTGGTTGAGTATTGTCCCTTAATGGATTTACTTAAGTGATTCCCCATTGGTTAGCATCTACAATGCATATATTTTTATGTATTTAAATTTAGGATACATTCCTGTATGTGAAAATACTGAGTCAAAAGTAAGGCATTTCCTTTGGGCAATTAAATACAGATATAGATATATCTGTGTGTGTGTGTATGTTTTCCAACTGTCCTTAAGTAAAGTTATACCAATGTTCATTTCTATAAGCAGAGGGTGTGACTGTCCATCCTGAGTATATCATTAAAAAAAAACCTTTGCCAGTCTACTGGATAAGAAGTGGTATCTAATTCTTGTTTTCTTTTGTATTTATATTGTTAGTAAGATTACACTTTAAAAACATCTTTATTGGTAGTTGATATTTCTTATTTTTTTAATTGCTACCTTATCTTAACTCAGTCTTTCCATTAATCATTTTACATATTTTCTTATTGATTTATAAAAACTCTTCATCTCTAAAGGCTACTAAATTCCTTGTCATCAAGTGTTTAAGCAAAAATACAGGTTTTTTCACCCCCCCCAAAATGAAGATAATAATGTCTACCTCAAAGAGCTGGAATAAATGATAGAATTCATAAAAAGAAAATAACATGGTGGGCATTCTCTGGCAGTCCAGCGGTTAGGACTTGGTGCTTTCAATGCCAAGGCTCAGGTCAATCTCTGGCTGGGGAACTGAGATCCTGCAAGCCAAGTGGCACAGCAAATAAATAAATGTAAATATATGTGTGTGTGTGTGTGTGTGTGTGTGTGTATGTGTGTGTATACATATATATAATATAGCATGGTACCTAAAGTATAATAAAAATTCAATAAAGGTAGTCATTTTATGGGGAAAAAGAGAACTTAACAACTAGCTTTAGGGATGGTCCACATTAAGTGATAGAAGAAAGACAGGTATTCAAGGAAATGAGAGAAAACGATGCAAACAATGTTGTGGAAATCATGGAATAAAGGATTTCAAGGAAAAAGTACCTAATCAAACTCAGTAATTAGGATAGAGAAATGAACCATTCAGTCTTGGTTGTTTTTTAAGTAAGAAAAGCAAATGTGGACAGTCCTACATACCCAAAGTTGGTCATCCATGCCTGGTGGGTTCTTTTTGATAAAAGCACCATAGTATGTAGCGATATTCCGGTGATGAGAGTATTTCTTCAACATGTTAATTTCTTGTTTGATTTCTTCCTCTTCATCCTGTGTTAGAACCATAAATATTCTGTCATGAAAATCCATTGTCTTCAGTAGGATTCTATTTTTCATCACCATCTATATCAATTATGCAAACACTTGAACTTTTTCTTCTATGGTAACAAACAAGCATTGTTATCACACTACTTGACTTTGTCTCTTGACTACAAAGAAAAAATTTACAAGACAACACATTGGTAGCTGGAAGGGGTCTTCTGTCTGTATAGCAAACCAATATAGTATGCAACCTGATAGTAAAAAAAAATTCCTCATCTTTTCACCTGGAAGAGATTAAGGTAGACTTGCTATTGAGATAAAACTCACTCTAGGCCTCTGGGAAATTTGTCCATCAAGTACCCATCACCGATCATACTTGGTTCAAGAAGGCTAAGAAAAGTGAAAAGAAAAAAAAAATACAGGCTCTTCAAAATTTAAATTTTGTTAGGTTCATTTTCTTTGAAGTCTCCTTTTATTGAAGTCCCCAGTAGAAGATTATGAAAGTCAGATGGGAAAGGAAGCAAGGGTAAGTTCTCTCGATCTGAGGATGTTCACAAAGCAGGAGTACCCGTATCACCTTCAGGAAAGTACACATGAAAAGAAAGGGGACATGTGGTAGTTGCCCAGATGTGAAAAGAAAGAACCCCCCGACAGAGTAAGTTTCGGAATCCAGATTTCATTCATTTTGAGTTTCAATTCAGAGTCCACTAACTTGAGCCTTTTTTTTTAGAAGACCTGGCATCACTAATGAAGGGTGTGCGTGTTCTCCTGTAATTTTATTTTGATGTGTACACATCAATTGGACTTTTACATAGTATTTTATTTTTGAGGTTGGTGGAAGAACTTCTGAGCCCAGGAAGATTGTTTTAGATGCAGCAGTAAGAATCTCTGAGTGTAAGATGTTTACATCACCATTACCTGAATTCTTGCCTCCTCCAGCTACTCAATCTCAACAATGCTGGGCCCTTCTATAGTCTCCCACTAGCATCTTCTTTCCCCTTCCTCTTCACATTGTTTCTACTCACTATTCCTGACTGAGTTTAATGGATATTGCTGAGGGATGTCTTCTCCAATTCTCTTGGATAATGTCAAGTCTCCCAGCTATCTTGTCCGCCCCCAAAGCCGCACATTTGTTGGTACCGGAGTAGAGGTAAGGGTCATCCTGAGTCATAATTGCCCTTGTTCTTGACTCTCTCCTCCATGGACTGTAGGTTCTCCTGCCTTCAAATATCAGTTCCAGAGCCCCCTCCCCAGTAAAGCTCTCTGATCTGCCTGACATGCTTCTAGTCCCATAAATCATCACGGATCTCTTCCCTCACAGCACCTACCAGAACTGCAATCCACATTTATCTATTTAAACATTTGACTGAAGCCTCTCTTCCCTATCAATCCATAAAAACTATAAACAAAGAAATCCTTCCTGCTTTAGCTCTTTATAATATCCTAGCATCAAGCAAAATGCCTGTGAATAAATATTAATAAAAAAGTGAACACCTATAAAATGTCCAACCACTTACAGTAGCCTTCTTTATAGCTTGAAAGGAATTGGTAACAATAAGAGGAGTGGTGAAATGCTGACACTTTCTGACCACACAAAAATCAGTTTTCCTAAAAAGTGATGGAGATTTGCAAACCTAGGAGAATAAGGCATGTTACATATCACATGGCCTATACAAGTCAAAGAGTAGGTAATCTCAAAATAGAACGTGTGCTTGGGATGCTGAGCTAAGAAGAAGCACGTGGCCTTAACAGTGGAAAGGAGTAGAGGAGTGAAGGGCTGGGAAGGAGGCTGGGGGAGGGGATAGCACACTGCTGAGCCAAGAAATCTTCCCTGTGGCCATCAAAAACTGCCTACATCTTCACCACAGGTATAAGGAGAGAATGACCTTCACAGTCCTTCAACTTGCTGCAGTGTCCTGCAGCAGACCTCAAAATGTCTGAGGATCATGCATATTAGCTATTTTAAATCTACCACGTGGGGCCAAATAATCATGGATGAATGTACGATGCGAGCAGATGTACTTTAGGGAAGCCTAGATACAAGGGGAGAAAACAAACCTGAGGGTTTCCGGGGTGACCTGGCATCTGCTTTCAACTAAAGGGACAAGTAAATGAGACAGTAAAAGATCAATCACTTTCCCACAGCAGTGGGACAGGCTCAGCCTGGGTCATTCTTAGTGAGAAGCTGGGCTCGTTCTACGAGTATTTGCTGCCTGTCTCCTAAGTTCTCCACAGGATGGTGGCTGACATCAGAGAAGGAGAGAAGAGAAAGTGCCTAAAAAAGCTTACCATATCATTAAGAAAATAAGAACTTATGAAACAGTTAAATAGCAATGTAATTCAGTATATAATTAAATCCCAATTAAATAGTACTGGGAGGCCAGAATGAAATCAGCACATCCTCTATTGCTTTGCAAAGGTAAACTGAGGCAACATGATAATGAAGAAGGCATATGCATTGAGTCAAGAAAATGAGTCGGGGGGCAGGTGGGGTACATGTCCAGTTTGGGCCCCCCTTCTTTCTGGCTGTATGGTCCCAGGAAAGTAACCTACCTTTTAGAGTCTAATTTTTCTCATTTATAAGGAGATATAGATTTTATAATAGTATTATTATATGTCCCAATCTTTTGTGAAAATTAAATGAAGATGTGAAAGTTATAAAATGTAATACAAAATAAATGCTATTATTAATCTTCTCAACCAAAAAATAAATAACAAGAGTAAGAGGTCAGGAATATAAGTAACTTGAATTTTAGGTTTAAATTGCACTGTTTGCAAACACAGTTAAAGAACCACTGTGGGTCATGGTTATGTAGCTCTAATATAGAACCTTGAGCTTGATCTTATATTACCTCCTAAAAGAGTAGGCAATTTATCAGGCCTTCAGGGCTATTGTTTATCCAGATTTCTAGACTAGGGCATTGATGGCCGTAAGTTATGCAGTGAAACTGAAAGGGAGGCACTTCTTGTGACCATAAGAACTCATTTAACCCCTTCACATGCAGTCTGACCTTTTACAACAAGACCTATTGAAGAAGATGGGTTATGAAGTTTTCAAAAGGACAGACAGAATTGAGGCTAGAATTAGATTACAAAGCTATAAGAAGTTTTTCTTCTATTTCATAAATGGATTATTCTTGTCTTAAGAATTAAGCAAAGGGATCAAGTTCACTGGGAAACTAATGACCACTGGGTCATAATTTAAAAAACAAAGTAATAGTACCAAAATTGTAAGAAACTTTAAAAGGGAACAATTTTAATCAGCCAAGTCTGATAGTCTAGGAAGAACCATAATTTCAATCAGAAGACTTCAAAAATCTTGTCCAAGCTGATTCAATATGTAAACTCAGATATGGCTATTTAAACTCTCTGAATGTCAGTTATTTTCATCTATAAATGGGAAAAAGAATACCTATCTAAGTCACCTCTCAGGTCTTAGAAATGATTAACTGCTTAAGCAGAGCACTATTATCAACATAAAGAAAATTATTATTTTTTCTTAAAATGGCAGGAATCTATTGCTAAGTATTTGTGGCAGACTGAAAGGAAAAATGGCCCTGATATTTGGCATTCATTGGAAGGACTTTTGCTGAAGCTTCATGCTTTGGCCACCTGATGTGAAGAGCTGACTCACTGGAAAAGACCCTGATGCTGGGAAAGACTGAAGGAGAAGAGGGCAACAGAGGATGAGATGGTTGGATGGCATCACCAACTCAATGGATATGAGTTTGAACAAACTATGGGAGACAGTGAAAGACAGGGAAGCACCTGGTGTGCTACAGTCTGACTTGCTAACAGTTGGACATGACTTAGCAACTGAATAACAACAATACATTTATGTATTGAGGTGGAGTCCATCCTCTCTGCTTATTTCTGGGCTTGGCCCTGTGACTTGCTTTGGCCAATGGGATATTACCTAATGTGATACAGCAGAGACTTGAAAAGTTTCTGTGTATTGGGGTAGACTTCTAACTGCTTGCAGAGAACAATTCCATATGAAAAACCAGAACCAGCATATCAAGAGGATGATAAAACAGGTGAAGAAACAGTGCTTTTCAAATGCACGGAAAAGGATGATTCCAGACAATGCTTGCTAACCACCGACTACCTCTGATGGCTATATGATGATCACAGCCATAGTTATAAAACACAGCCAAAGCCAACCCGATGTAATGCTCTGTACCATAGGTTGTATGTGTATTATTGAATATCCAAAACAGATCTATGAAATACATGTTTTTAATGACCCCGTTGAACAAATAAGAAATATGAGTTTCAGAGAGTGTATTCCTATTTTAGAGCTTCCCAGGGGCCTCAGGGGTAAAAGAATCCACCTGCCAATGCAGGAGACACAGGTTCCACCCCTGGGTCAAAAAGATCCCCTGCAGGAGGAAATGGCAACCCACTCCAGTATTCTTGGCTGGGAAATCCCATGGACAGAGGAGCCTGGCGGGCTTCAGTCCATGGGGTCGCAAAGAGTCAGACACGACTGAACATGCACACACAGCACATTCCTATATTAAAAGTTAGAGCTAAGATCTAAAGCCAAGATTTGTCTGACTTCAAAGTCAGTGTTTGTAATTCTAAAATGAAAACTCTAGATAGAAGGGTGATTACCCACAATGATAAAACCAAAGCTGCTGCTAAATCATGAAATAAGAGTTTAGGAGCACCTTAAGTCAGGGTTGAAGAGAAACCTGCCTTTGGTCCTCTAATTAAATGAGATTTTTAGCACCCATTAATATTTGTTTATGAATGATTTCAGGGGATAAAGGAGGGATTTTAAGTTGCATATTTATTACACAGGGGAACATACTTTAAGAATCTACAATACAGCAGGATTTAAAACCAGAATTAATGAGACATTTAATATTAGTGTGCTCAGTAACACAGCTCTCAATCCATGGAAGAGGAATAAACCTGTGTAGTTCTTACAACAATCCAAGAGACTGGTCAGTTTTAACTTTACAAAAAAGGATGGGGTGAGCGTGTGTGCTAAGTTGCTTCAG